ATGTACAAATACATGTACTTAAAACCAAGCCTGATATCAAAATAGCAATAGGAGAGTAATCAGACTAACAAACTGAGAAAAAGGAATAATTAAATGCTTTAGCAGAAGAAAAAGATAGATGATTAGAGAGGACAAAAGATGAGGAGGAAAAGGGAGGAAGACTATATATGGAAAAGATTGAAAAAATACAACGGAACGATGATGTAAACTTGTATCATCTGTCGTCATATTCTGTGGAAAAAATGCGTACATTCTGAAAACAGTTCAATCCCATTTCTGTTTATTTTTCCGTATAAAAAATACTACAGGAGATTTTAGACTACTAAAAAATATAAAATATTACGGGAGATCTTTAGACTATTATTAAATGTAAAACCACTAACCAACAACAGATTAAAAGCAGAACAGACAGATCACAGGATCTAACACGATCAAGCACAGGTTGAGACAGGATTGAACACGTTAGGAACAGAACAGGACTAGGCAGAGCAAGAACAGTGCAGAACAGGTCGAACCACACGGCCTAATCTGCATGTCAGGGTAAGCAACGCGACAAGAACAATAGAACAATAACATTTATAACTGGGTGAACTTTCGCGACTTTCTCTTTATTATAATGGATGTTTTACTTGTTTACTTTTTTATCTTTTTTATATTGTATGTCGCATTACCATCATATCGTATTAGTGGTAATATTAAAAAAAAAAAAAAAAAAAAAAAAAAAAAACGGAGGAGTGGAGAAACAGTTACTGTTGGTAGCATGATTAAACATGTATGTTACTCTCTCTCTCTCTCTCTCTCTCTCTCTCTCTCTCTCTCTCTCTCTCTCTCTCTCTCTCTCTCTCTCTCTCTGTCTCTCTCTACTATATATATATATATATATATATATATATATATATATATATATATATATATATATATATAATATATATATATATATGTACACACACACACACACACACACACACACACACACACACACACACACACACACACACACACACACACACACACACACACACACACACACACACACACACACACACACACACACACACACACACACACACACACACACATATATATATATATATATATATATTATATATATATATATATATATATATATATATATATATATATATAATATATATATATATATATATATATATATATATATATATATATTATATATACTTCTCTCCCTCTCCTCTTCCCTCCTTCCTCCCACCCTCTTTCCCTTCCTTCCCCCCCTCCCTCTCTATCCCTCCCTTACTCCCTATTACCCCTCTTCTCACCACCCTATCCTCCTTTCACCCGTCCTTCCCTCCCTCTCACTTTCTCTCTCTCATTTTGTTTCATCATCACCCTTTTTTTCGAGAAACACCTGATGTGTCCTCTCGAGTCTTCTGGGAAAAGGAGGCAGCGGCAGACGACCCAAATCAGGTATGACCAAAGGCTACGGATTTTCCCTTCGGTGCAAGGTGTTTGTTCGTCTGTCGTGTTTGGTTCTTAGGAGAAAGGGGTTTGGGTTTTGTTTAAGGATAACTGGGTTGTTGTGTTGTGTTGTGGATTTTTATTATTATTATTATTATTGTTATTATTATTATATTATATATTATTAATTATTATTATTATTATTATTATTATTATTATTATTATTATTATTATTATCATTATTATTATTATTATTATTATTATTATTATTCATCATATCATATTATCATTATCATATCATCATCGATATTATTATTTATTATTATTATATTATTATTATATATTATTATTATTATTATTATATTATTATTTATTATTATTATTATTATTATTATTATTATTATTATTATTATTATTATTATTTATTATTGTATTATTATTAATTATTATATTATTATTAATTATATTATTTATTATATTATTATTATCATTTTATTATTTTCATTTCTCTTTTTTTGTGTTGTTGTTAAAGGTGATTGGCTTCGTGGTGAGTTGGAATTAATATATTGCTGTTATACACCATTGTAATTCGTGGTCGTATTGGTGTGTATTGCTAACTTCTATGTTTCATCGTATTCTGAATAAAGTGGCGAGAATCACTTCATGTCACAAATTGTCTCCGCCATTCTGTTGCCCATTTGTTTGATCACTTTCTTACGTACAATCTTTTTATAAGTAATAATACCTGCTAAGTGATAAAAAATAATAGGAAAAGTAGAAAATAGAAAATTAATATCAAACAGGTTTATTAAAAATTTCGATCCAGAGAAGAAATTCCATTAATTTTCTCAAAATAATAATTATTATTTTCTAAAATTTCTTCTTTAATATTTCATAAATGTTTATTCCACCATTTATATCTAATTGTTAAACATGCATAATTTACTTTAATAAAATATAAATAATAAAATAATATGAATACCAATACTGAAATACGTAAAAATATAACAAAGACGAAAATAAAATGAAAGCTAGATATCACAATTAATAAGTAAAAAAAAAA